AGCTGCAGAAGCTTCAGTGTGAGTTCAATTCCCAGGCCAGGAAGTGATCCATATGGAATGGCAGACCTCTCCTGACCCACCTACTACTCCCTTCAGCAGTGCACTTTGTCCATCAGCCTGTTCTGATTCCATACTCTGCCTCTGGTGAATCCTCTCACCACCCCTGCACCTCTGGCCTGTACCCCAGTTCTGTATGCATAAATAAATCTAAAAAAAAATCTTAGATCACATTGTTTCATACATACATACATACATTTTACATATATATATTCTTTAGACATATGAGTCTAGTCCCCACATGAGTTGAAAACTACTTCTTATTTCAATTTAATTTCAGTAATTCCATAGAAAGAGATGGATCTGTCCTGTTCCATGTTGTATTCACTCCACAGTGTATCAGACACCAGTGTTGCCATGGATTGACTTCAAATAACCCTGTAAATGTAACTTTATATAAATATATCTATAGTAAAATTGCTAGTACATGGTATAATGGTATAACTGGAAGAAAGAGCTAAACTTAAAAGGATATATGGAAAAGATGGTTTGCGAACATTACATATAAAGTATCCCTTCTCAGTGATGCATCAACAAAACAAAAACAAAATTCAGTAGTAATATACATGGAAGATTGCATCCATGGAATTACTTTTTATAAAAAGTGGATTCAGGAGCATAGCCATTTATAAACGATTGTTAAGAATTTCACATAAAACAATGGAATACCTAAAAGTATAAAGTAAGCTTTAAATTTGAATTGAGAGAACTAAGTTTAAGGCTCAGTATATGAAATACAGAACAATAGCATCAGCATAACTACAACTAATTTAGAAATCATGCAAGAGCCTTTGCATGCTATAACTATGAAATGCATATTCACAAAACTGTTTCTCAGTTATTTACTAAGTTGTAAGAAATGATATGATGGGGTCTCCCTGGTGGTGCAAGAGGACTACTGCATGAGTTCAACTCCAACCAGGGAGGTGACCCACATGGCACAGCAGCTCTCTCCTTTCTTGCCTCCTGTGCACCTCAGAAGTGTATTTCAGTAGATCCGCCTGTTCTGCTCCCCACTCTGTCACTGGTGAATCCTCATCACCCACCCCTACACCTCAGCTCTCATATGCATAAATAAATAAAAATATTTCTTTTAAAAAACGAAATGATATGAAAAGGGAGAGTGCTGTAATTGATATAAATTGATAAAAGATAATAGTATTTGCATTTTTAGGAATAATTACACATATTAGAAAAATAAAGTTCTCACAACAATTTAAACACCCAAAAGAATTTTTTAAAAGTAAATAATTTTCCATCTCCCTGACAAAGTAAATTAAACATTGGTTGACCAGCATCTTCTAAGTATCAATCAATTAGCAGTGTTTTATACAATAGCTCTAATTTACAAATCTGAGGGAATGCAGCAAATTTATATATCTCTAAAATAGATACAATAAATATTGTATAAGAATTATTGTTCTCCAAAGACAAGCGTCTAGTAATGATAAGATAGAAAATGCTTCAGGAAAATTAGAACAATATGTAGAAAATTCAGCACAGGACATAAAAATTAATAAAAGAAATGAAAATATGTAGTTTTAAGTAATGTTAGCTACCATTTCTACTATAAATGTGAATATGCATATATATGTAAATCTATTGAAGCAATATTTAATGAATTCAATAACCATGTCAAGCTCCTGTAACTAAGATAAACTAGCATAAGGTGATTTTTTAGGGCCATTCCTGGTGGCACAACGGGTTAAGATCAGCACTATGAAGCTAGCCATAGCCACTTTAGCATGAGTTCAATCCTCACCAGGGAGGTGACCCACATGCCATGACAGACCTCTCCTGACCCACCCACTGCTCCCCTCAGCAGTGCACTTTGTCCATCAGCCTGTCCTGCTCCCCACTCTGTTTCTGGTGAATCCTCTTGCCACTCCTGCACCTCTAACCTATACCCCAGTTCTGTATGCAAAACTAAATAAATCTTTGATAAAAAAAAAAAGATCATTTTTTAACTCTCCCCTTTTTGACAAATTGAGAGACTGTGGAATTCAGAGTTATTTCTGCAGCAATCATGAGGTTTCCAATGGAAACATTCATTATAAAGAAAGGAAGATCATTGGCAAATAAAATAATGAGAGAGGAAATTCATAGAAAACTTAATTACTTGTTAATAAGTTCCCTGTCATTTAATATCTCTTATTCTGTGTGAGGGCCTCTTACTGGTATACACTGAATTAAGCAATACAAGAGCAACTTCTTATCTGAGGTCAGTAAGAATTGTTTCTCCCTTTTCATGGAGAATCCACAGGAGTTCCTTCAACACACACTAAGATAAGATTGCAAAAAATGGACTAAATACATTTCATTTCATCTCATATATGAGACTTCTAATATTGACAAACCTACCAAAGAAAATGAGGTAAGATAAACATATCAAAGATGTGTAAGCAGGCTTAAGTCTCAAGGAGCTGAGTCAAGTCAGAACTGTATCTAGAATCAAAACCACCCAGGAAAGCCTACATCAGTCATCTCCACCTGATCCACATGCATGGAATAAATGCTTCTGTTTGAATGCCACTGAGTTCTGTGGTTATATGTTACACAATGGTATTGTGACAATAAACTGATATACTTGTGAATTAAAGCAAAAGGGTACATAAGTCTAAAATTATCAAAAAAAAAAAAACATTTCCTTCTTCCTGAGATTGATTGCTAATGCAGTTATCAGGAAATTGAGAAATACACATATGATTGTGAGTGTTAAATGCAATGAGTAGCTTCTAAGTTGCGAATTGACTTGTTCTTGTCCTTGTTATCCTAACAATTAGATTATCTTTTAATATTTACGCTTTGCTTTCATGTTTTGGGGATATCAATAACTTTCCAACCTCATTTGTAAACTTGCAGCATTAAATTAGATTACATTTTCTTGAATTGTTTTTAGGGTTCATGCTTCCAAAGAGATGTTTGGATCCTGTAACATGATGGATACAGGGGAGGAGAGCTAATCAGTTGAAGTGTCCACCTGACAATCCACAATACTCTGCTTTGCTCTGTCTTAGATGCTGATACTTCACTTGGAGACTGTTTCACCGTTTAAACATTAAAACTAAAAACTGCTAAAAAAAATTCTTTTTAAAGTTTTCTCATACTCAAGGCATTTATGAAACTTTCTTTTGTCTGCTACCTTTTCCCTATGTTTATTACAATGATCCTAACTTAAGACATCTTCACCTCAACTCCATAACTTGGATCCTGTTACAAAGTTACAGATGGTGTCATTTCAGTCCCTACTTAAAACTAAAGTTAAATCACATTAAATGGGGAGCTCAGGCTCTCTCTCTCGCTCTGTGATCTTTTTCCAAATTATTTTTCTTCACTTTTCATCTAGCTAAACACACACCCAACTCACCCTTACCTCAAGGTCTTCTCACATGCCGGCCTGTCTGCTTCAATGTTCTTCCCCTACTCTCCAAATGCCATCTTCCTTTATCCTTCAGTTCTCAGTCATCTTCTCTGAAGGGCTTCCCGACCAACCAAACTAAAGTAGGTCTCCTCGTTATTCCCTGACAGCACCTTACTCTTCCCCTTTGTGCTTAGCATAACCTGCATTTATAGACAACTACGTGGCAGAATTGTCTGGACTATTTTTGCATTCCTAGGTCCAAAGCATTGCTTGGCACATAGTATATGTTCAATAATGAAGTGAATCAATTATTTTTTTGACTTCTAGCAACACACTTTTCCCCCCATTACTGTTCTGTATCATATGGCATATACCATCAGGATATTATCCTAGTCTCTAATATGTTCACTCATGCTTCCTCCCCTCATCATCTATATAATTCACATAATGTTCCTTATACCTTTGCATATCAGAAATTTTTAACTTGCTTCAGTCATCATACATTCTTCATATTCTTTTCACATGCCAACCCTCCAGAGCTGAAAACTGATCTGTTCTCAGACATTATTAAAAGGCTATCCCAAATCCTAAAATGAAATTAGCAGTAGTTATTCAATAAGTGCACTTCAATACTTGTAGAAGTAACAGTTCTATGTCGTTTGCCTGAAGTGACTGAACCAAATTTCAAGCAAAACTACCAAGCTATATTTTCAGAGGGAAAAAAAGAAAAAGACCAAAGTTATATTCAAGCTAATTGCAGTGATCTCTGTCTAAAGAAAAGAAGAAAAAATAACTGTGTGATCTATATATAATCTAAAAAATAAGGACACAATAAGCAAGAATGTGCTGTACTGGTCTGAGGAATGCTCACAGTATGATCAGAGAAGAGGGGTTGTAGTGGGCAATAGGTGGAGTTAAGAGCTGTCATTACCATCTGGATATTCCAATCATAGGGCCAGATAGATAAATATTGGAAAGGGAACATTTTCTGGAAATGAAAAAGAGGCACTGTGGCTTAGGAAAAAGGAATTGGTGAGTTTGGTATGAATCTACTAATAGAAAGTTTAATTTAATCTGGTTTGACTAAAAACATTTTGACTCTTATTCTACACAGCCATGGTTCAGTTCTTATACAGCTAACTGCATATCATGAACTTCAGTTCAGAGAGAAAATCCCTTGGCCTGTTTAGTCTCCTTCCCCGGGCACCACCTGTATGGGACCCGATTTTCCTACTCACTCCCATGTGAGCCACTTACAATTGCATAATATTTGCCATGTCTATCATCACCTACCTTTTGGTAACTATACAATGTACTTCTGTGACTATTTAATTAAACAAAATGGAATTAGAGAATATGATTTTTTGCCACTAAAGCATTCAGACATTCATTAGAGAAAAGATAAAATTTTTGTACCTTCAGCATCAATTATTGTAGGTGCGAGCCTAACTTTTATTCAAAATGAAAGATTTTGATAATATCTTGACAAGTTGTTTAAGGAATCATCAGCTACTTACAGTGATCACCATAGGGAGCAATTAATGAAGGAAGGTGTTAAGGAAAATAACAAAAATTTTCAAACCTGGGACTGATATCTTCCCCACAGTCGGATGTTTCATCTCCATAATGAGGCCATTGTGTAACACCTTAAAATGTAAAAATAGAGAGAAAAATAACTTACAAAGAAACACTATCTTCAATTTCAAGGTAAATGGAAAGTCACCTATTCAGTTTTCTAAAGAAAGATATTGCAAAACACAGAGATGCTTTAAATTTTCATTTGAAAGTAAATATTTGAAATAAAAAGTGTTTTCATCTTATCTTACACCAACAAAAGCCAAAAAAAAATTAGAACACTGAAAGACTAGCAGAATTTATTTTTACAAAGTCTTCCCACTCTTAAAAATGCTATCTGCTCTAAATATACCCTTTTACTTAGTTATGAATCTCTAAATATTAAAACCCAGCCTCTTCCGCACTCCGACATTCCAAGATATAGACAAGGTCAAATGTCAAAGGTAGGTTAGAAGGAACCAGAACTTGGAACACGTGGCATCCAGCAGGGTGGCATATATACTCCTGACAGTTGAGTCAGTGAAATATATGGAGAGTCAGTCCAGTTTGCAAGGAGTCATAGTCCCTGGAAGATGCAATGACCATGGAAGTAGACAGATACGCATTACTATGGCTAGTACTGAGTAGTTGAGAGGGAATCAGCTGACAGAAAGTGGAGAAAACATCCAGGTTACAGCTCTGAGAAGATTAAAACTAGAGACATTTTCAGTGATTATAAGCTGAGAATATGGAAACCAGGTTTCAGATCTAGGACTCCCATTATCCTGGGGTATGAGAGGGAGAGGAAGGAGACAACTGAAACTCAAAACCTAAGACTTCATCCAAGAGGGCTCATTATGTTCTCATACACTGGGATCAAGGCAGATACTTGGAGACCCAACAAGTTTACAAGTTAGATTTGGCCTCTGGGTTAAGACTCAAGATCAAGTATTAGGAAAGGGACCAAGAGGAGGAAATTTGAATTAATGCTTAATTATTAACCACTGAAATAGAGTTACTTAAAGTCTTGGCATATAAAAGCTATGGTTTCTCTTATAGAGTGAGCAGGGGAATAACATCTGCCAAGAATCAGTTCTGCCCCTACTGTAGGCTGAGGATGAAATGGAGATATGGAACCAGAGTCTAGAACAGAAAGGTTTAAATACTAGAGGCAAATGTTCTACAATTTCACAGAAGAAAATGCTACATGGTTGGGGTTTTGTTTTTAAATGGATGGAGACTCTCTGGACATTCTGTCTCAAAGGACCCCAAAATTTAATTTACTATTACTATTAGTGGATCTTCAGTGACATAGAAATGGGCAACATACATATGATCTGTGCCTCACCTCTACTTTCTATCAAATGGAGAGCTTCCCTCCTCAGTTCTCTTCATGGGTCTAAATGGCAGAAGCATGTTGATGTCATGGTAAACTTGTGCACTACAGTTTCTGGAAACATCTCAAAGACTGGTAGTTGTGATGGTTCTATAAAATTTGGAGCTTCAAGTAAGATCTGCATATCTATATTCTAATCTTTTCATAGAGCAATAATAAAATGAATAAAACTTTTCTCACTTGGAAAGGTAGTCAAATCTCTTGCATTTTATCCACTTCCTCTGAGGTTTTTGTTACATTATTGACCACCAATAAGACAACTTCATGGGTGACATTTTAAGGTTAGAATTATAACTCTGCTATTGCTACATCTTCTGGTTTCTAGTATTTTCTTTGGAAATGCTCACCCTTTTGGGGTTTTGCGCTTTAAACAGTCATATCAAACCCCCTCATTGAAGGTGATGCCACACCATATGGAGATCCCTTCTAGGGAGGCTTGCTTCTCTTTGGGAATCACCAGCTTTGCACCCAAGAGCTGGCCAGAGAAAATTCTTACCAGTGTTAAAACTGTGCTATAATTTAATTCTTGTGTGGCTCGTTCTCAGCACTCGCCCAGCACAGCCTCCTCCTTTGTGGGGGTGGGGGCTAAATGCCAACGGGAGGTGCTAAATCTCAGTTCTACTAAGGACAGGAACAAAAATACCGAGCTAAATTTCACTCGAAACAATTATCAGCACACTGAATCATTCTTCTCGTATCTCTGTTGCCCTCCTGACTACCTCTTTGTAATAACACTGCAGTGCTACTCACAAAAGACAAAAGTGAGTGTTCTTAGCTAAATATAACTTAGCTGATAGTGTTGAAATTAATTAACACTGAATTTTAATAATGTAGCAAACGTTAAGTGTCAAACGTGAAAGGGTAGTTGGTAAAGGTCAAGGGACCTATGTCAAAGTTTTGCAAAGCACAAGCTTGCAACTGATTGAAGATTTGAATGGAAACAATTTAAGGGGTGAACTTCCTTCAGCAATAGCACCACTGCTGTCTGTCTATGATTTCCCATATGAAACTTATATAACCCTACCAACTCCTTCACTTTAATAGTTGTGAACAAACATTTCAATTGAAACATAAATTCTTTTGTGTTTGGCAAGAGAAGTTGATTGCAGTCTCATTTGCTGTAGTATTTGTATAATTGTGAGGAAAGGGGCTAGTCAGAGCCACCATATTCAGAAAAAAAAATGTACTTAATCGGGAATGACTGCCAACCACTTTTTAATGCAAAGCCTGAAGGCAATACAATTCCATAGGCTTTCTTTGTGAATCAGGTCAGATCATCTCAGAGGACAATGAAGGCGGTGGCAGTGCTGTCCCGGGAAACCTTGCGTAATGACTCGGAATCTTGGAAAACTCTCCAACCTTGTTTGTGGGGCGAGTCCTTCTCTGCTTAGTAACATATTTGAGGATCTCAGAACCCAGGCAGTCTGTCTGAATTTTAACATAAATCTCTACTCTGTTTTTCAGGCATATTGTCTCCTTCTAACTTTGTTGGAAATAGAGGTGCTGCAGCTTACATTATTTCCTCTGGGAATGTTTTCTGCATATTTGCATTTTTCTTTTCCTGATCCAGTCTCTATACCCTAATCTCTATGATCTTAACCCAGAAATTCAAATTTTAAGTGTTTCATTTTCTGAAACCTAACAATGAAATAAAAAACTTAGTTTTAGGGTCCTTCAACTAACATTTCTTCTAAAGGGGGATTTCTCATCTAGACTGTTAGTTTTCACAGTCATGGCATTCTTTGTTACACGTTTAGTTATTTTAAAATATGGCAAGTATATTGCCTAAAACTTTTGGATTTTGTCCATCATTTACTTATTTTATCCTCCCTAAATCTTTCATGGTTTGGTAGATCTTCTAAATCTCATTTCTTCTTGTAATCTCGAAAAGCCTATGCTTGACAGAATAGAATTGTAAATAGTGTTCCAATCTAACCCTATCTTTCTTTTTTTTTTTTAAGATTTGTTTATTTATGCATATCAGAACTGGTGTATAGGCCAGAGATGTTGGGGAGTGAGAGGACTTACCTGAGACAGAGTGGGGAGCAGAACAAGGAGATCTACTGAAATACACCACTGAGGAGAGGAGTGGGTGGGCTAGAAGAGGTTTGCCATGCCATGTGGGTCAGCTCCCTGGCTAGGGACCAAATTCATGCTGCAGTGGGTGTTGATAGCTTGATAGTGCTGTGCTCTAACCTGCTATGCCACCAGGGAGGGCCCTGCATCAACCTTTTTAATAAAGTATTAGACCTGTTTAAAATAAGGTCTTTATTCTTCAGAGCTTTACAGATTGACAGCCTAATGACAGAGTCAAATGGTAATATATTAATGGCATAAGGTAAGAATAAGATCTGTATTTTTGTGTAATATGGGTAATACAAGTCTAAGTGAAAGTAAGGTTCTATTAATTTATATCTGTATCTGTATCTATATCTATATATACAGTCCTGTGGCTGGAATAGTAGAAAGAAAAAAAAAAAGCTATAATATAGCACTAGTAAGACAAAAATATAAAATATACTAGTAAGACAAAAATATATATTCAAATGAAAGAAAGTGATAGAGTATCAGCATTAAGTGACACACAAATGGTCTGTGTGAAGACCATATCAAAACTCAATGTCATAGCATCTAGGCCATTAACAATGATGCATAGAAGATAACTGATCTCGCCATTCCCTGAATGGAGACATGACCTAGTCATTGAATTTGTTAAACATCATAGAGCACTTTAATATTAGATGATCCGAAGGGGCTGGCAGTGAAAAGATGAATGAAAGTGCACTGCAGTGCCTATAATTAGACAAGAAGAAAAAATAAGAAATCTGAGCCAACTTTTACAGCACGGTTTAAGCTCTGTAAAGAAGTGGCAATAGCCAAATAAAAACAAAGTAACTTTGCTTGCCTTGAAACAGAGCTGAAGGAGATCAAAGAGGTCAGTAAAAGTCAGAAAAGATGAAATTTAAATAAAATATTAAGGTCAACGATTACAATAACAAATATAATGTTATCTATTGCTCAGCAAATCTCCATAAGGGCCAGGGAATATTTAATCTCATTAATTAGACTCCGTAAATCACTATCATCTGCATTTCTACTGATAAAGTGGTAGAAGCCAAAATAGGTTAGTACTTGCCCAAAGTTTCAAAACAACTGTCTGACTTTTGATTATAATTAGGTGTGTCTGGTCCTAAATTCCTAGCCAGATTCCTGACAGTTGAAAATGGATGAACATAATTTGATTTACCATTAAAGTAACTAGTTGATGTGGTTAATTCTGTAGAACAAATTAGTCAATTCATTGGGGGAAGAAAATGAGTAAAAGGGACTGCTTGGATCATTCAGCACGATGTGGCCCAATTAGTTAATAAACTGATCTGCTCCCATGTCGGTAGCCAGGGGTTTTCTGGCTACCACAAATACAAAGCTGCTGAAAAAGAGAAGACTTCTGGTTCTCTTTGCCAAGATTTTGTAGAGAATAGACCCAGCAGTTGACCTTGTGTGAGGTACATAAGTACTTTGAAACTCTGAACTCTCTTCAGTTAATCTCTTTCTCAGAATTTGAAAGGAAAAAGTGAGATGAGAGTAAAACACAAAGTATAATGCCTAGAACAGAGTAACTCACAATAAATGGAAACTGTCTGCACCATCAAGGAAAGATTGGGTTCAAACTCTGGTTTCACTGAGTTAGACCTA